AAGTTTTTCATAATTACCCATGGTGGAAAAATTCAGTTGAGATAACTTTTTCATGGGGTGATCAATTGCTATGATTGTAAGAATAAGTAACTGAAAAACTACCACTGAAAAATAATATGCCGACGCCTATGTCGAGGCGGCAATCCCTTCTCTGTGCTGTTTCAATTGGTATTGGAAATACTATACATTGAAAACCAATTTCTTCAGTTCTCTTTTGAACATGTTCCGAGATGGGCTATTTTCAATTAAATTTGGTAACGTGTTGAACCGAGCAAAACCCTTGAAAAACAAAGAATTCATGGTGTTTTTGTTCTGTTTATAAATAAATTATTATTATTTCTAGTGAAGTGGTGATGAATATAATGATGAAAGACAATGTACCGTCCTAAAATGTTCAATATTTTGTAATGTAAAATATAATAGTCTTTGAGAAATGGAGTGCCAATTTTAAACATTGAGCGTAATAGTAATAGGGGTATCTCTATGGCACTTCAAAATGATCCTCATACCACGATTCTGAAGTTTTTCAAGTGGAGACAATTTACTCTGATTGAATAGACATAGGATAGAGAAACAGTAGTCAAAGTATGGCTGAACAGTTGACTTGTAAACTGTGATACTTGACTCGGTTGAAAGATTATTGGCAATTTTAGAGAAAAAGAATTATTTTTTTATTTTTGTTTATGAATATACTCAAAATGTTCATCAAACGATAGAGTGTTATCCATCAGGAATATCGGATATTCAGTTGAATTAACTACTTCAATTCTTTCATCAACAATGCTCAGATTTATAATTTTGTTGAGTCTATTTGGCTGTATTTAAATTTGGTGGTGTTTATCATCGCTTTTGTTTTCAATACATTCAGCTTTAGTTGATTCATTTTCAAATGATTGTTGAAACTTGCTAGAGTATTATTCAGTTTTTGTATAGTCATTTGGAGGTTCACATCACTACATGTCAATAGAGTATCATCAGCAAAAAAGTTCATAAATTCACAATCAACAAACAATGACATGTCATTTAAATATAGTATGAATAAAAGGGGAACCAAAACACTACTCTGGGGAACTCCAACATCATTGTCAATTTCACAAGAGAATATCTCTTTCACTCTTACCCGTTGTTTTTTGTTGGTCGAATAATTAGATGACCAATTGTACCCTCTGTGCCCTCTATTCCATATTTATTCAATTTAACCAGTAGTATAGACTTATCAATGGTGTCAAATTTTCTTTTGAGTTCAAGAAACACGGCCACAACAAACTTGTCGTTTTTTTCAACATATTCAATTAGTTGATTATATACTGTTGTTTCTAGTATTCTTCATCTTTAATTGTATCAGAATTTTGGGTATTGGAACAATAGTACTACTTTTTAATCTTTCAGGTGTTTGGCCAGTTTCAAGAGATATGTTGATGAGATACAATATAACGTTACCGATAGTCTCAAAAACTTGTTTCAATATTTTGGAGTTGAGAATTTCATGTACAGTGCACTTATTATCCAAGGGAAGTATAATTTTACGTAGGTCTGTTAACGAAAGCAATCTGAATTCTGAGAAACTGTTGTATAAATTATAGTTTCTATTACACCATGACTCTGTATAGTTGATACTCTCCACTATTTAATTTATGCTTTTAACCAAATAACTGTTGAAGTCATCTAAGATTTCACAATCATCTCTTAGTAAGTTCGCCAGTTTTCTCAAACTGTATACAATTTGGAAAGTCAGTGACATTTCCTTCAACTAGTTTTCTGAGAGTTTTCCACATTTGTTTAGAGTTCTTTTGTATACCGATCAATTTTTTCAAAATAATATTAATTTTTTTTCTTTCCAACTCATTGACAACATCATTTCTCCATTTCTTGAATGTTTCCCAGTTATTTTCTATATTAAAACAGTTTCTGAAGGCTCTGTATGCCCTACCACGATTCTTAATTTTGCAATGAACTTAGTTATCAAAGCATGGCAAATGACTGTTAATACTACAATTTTGTATTGGAGAAATATCATCAATAACTGCTTCATAATTATTCAGTAGTTCTTGATAAATAATTGCTACGTCCGTAGAATTTAATGACATTCACATAATATTAAGTTCATTTTTATAAAGTCCAAATTACTTTCACTGAAGTTTCTATATTTTTCTATCGTTTGATTTTCGTTATTATAAATATTAGTGAAGGTACCAGTGATTGTTGAATGATCTCTTATTATTGGATATAAGTGTGCTTGACATCTATTCTCGTTCGACATCATCTATAAGCGATTCACTGTGGTTAGTAACTCTAGTTGGTTCATTGATTATTTGCGAGATGCCATATGTATTGAGGAGGTTTTTCAATCTAGAAACGTAAAAACTATCATCAGAGTAGTGTAGATTGAAGTCGCCCACTAAAATACAGTGAAGATTTGTTGAAAATAAGCTATCATAGATTTTTTTAAAGTCCTCTAAGAATTTTGCATCAGATCCTGAGGGTGAGTGATAAAAACAACTGACTAAAATAGGGCCTTCGAGTTTAATCTTCAAAATTTTGCACCAATAATTTCCTTCTAATATATGTATTCTATAGGTTTACAATGTTTACAATGTCACTTTTAATGTACATTGAGACATGACCTGTATGTCGGCTTTTTGAGCGTACTATATTGTAAATGGTAATTTTTCAGTTAACTTTTTTCGATATCATTGGTAATTCTGGATTCACTTAGTAATATAATTTTTGGGTTTTGGCAAACTAGACTTTCTTGTTATTGATATTTATGTGAAAATGATTGTGAAAACTATCGAGGAGAAATACATACGTATAAGGAAATGAATATTTTGAAATATTAATCTCTCCCAACTACCTACCCAGTAGGGTGTGGTAAATGTTATCACTTTTGATTTCTGTTAGAGTTTTGATATATGGGACGTTTCTTCCCCGGTTTGGGGCTTCGTTCACAAGATGGAGTAGTTACTAGTTGACAATCTTTCTCTCGGACGAAAGTTTCATATATGTAGCGGAGCCGTCTTGACATTATTCGAGTCCCAGACACTTTGCCACAGCATAGGTAACAATCAGCAATGTCACTTCGCTTGGCGGGAAAAGTTCGCGCATATCCGTCGCGTTGATGAGTCCGCCATTTTGGGAAGTGACAGACTTTCTCATTCTGCTTTTGGCTTTGCTCTTGGTAGGTCAAATTGTGAATTGAATAATTAATCTCTGTACTGTTATTTCACAGCATTTCAAAACGGAACTCTTGACACATTCGGTAACTTAAGTATGCCCAAAAATGAATTTCCAATTTCCAAAGCAATTTTGAGAATCTTATTGTAGGAACAAATGTCATTGCAGGATTTGTATCATTGTTTGAACGGTTGAATTATAATCATCTATGTGAAAATTTCCCAATATCTCACCTTTTGAAGTTATATAGTGGAGTAAGATTATTTTATACATTGAAAAATATGAATAGAAATTTAAAATCTCAGAAAAATATTGCAAAAAAAAAGGAAGAATAAAATAATAATTTGGAGACACGAATAAATGTTTTAAAATGAACAATTTTTATTTCTAGTATTTTCCTTATATAATAATCACCAGCTACCTTGGAAACCTAGAAGGATCCTAAGTGGGTCAAATACATGATATTGACATTTCAGGAGGGTAAAAACCGTTCTGTGAACGTATTACTAAAAAAGAATAAAAAGATTGGAGTACAAAAGTAAGTTGATGTTTGGATAGAACTTATCTATGTATGTATGAAAAAATACATTATGTTATAAAAGAGTTAATTCTAAAATGTAAGAAGGACGTATCAATTCTTATAATAAAGAACAAGCAATTCAACTGAAAGGTCAGTTAGTAATATACAAAATCACATTTATTTTAAGAGAGGTAGATCACAAAGTTTATACCAAAAAGTTGATTGCTGGACAAATTCTCCTTCATATTCCAGTTGATTGAACCATTGTATCCCTACTGGCGATTTTAGAAATAATTCGGCTGTTTTGACATTTTGAAAAAAAATCATGTAACCAGATAGAATGTCTG